CTACTTGTGGTGCTGCTACTGCTCGTAGTGGTACTGCTAGTGGTGGTTGTTGTAGTAGTGCTACTTGTGGTACTACTGCTGCTCGTGGTAGTACTACTTGTGGTGCTGCTAATTGTAGTCGTGCTGCTAGTGGTGGTAGTGGCAGTAGTAGTGTTACTTGTAGTACTGCTGCTTGTAGTACTGGTAGTGATAGCCGTAGTACTACTTGTGGTACTAGTACTAGTAGTAGTGCTACTTGAAGCAGTGGCGTAGCCAGGATTTTTAGACCAATGGGCAAACTTCTAGTATCTCGAAAAATTCGATGGGCAAAATGGGCAAGATTTTTATTGATGGGCCAAAAATTTTTAGCTGAGTAAAGTACTGACAACGTATAAAAAGCAGAAAAAGAAGGAAATGAGAGTCTTATAATTAAGAACATGCATTAAACTTAGACTCAGATCTTAAGCCCAAGTTAAGTGCATTTTAACTCTCTTAATAACTTTGTTTATAACATTTATGTTTCAAACTCAAACATCACGATCAGGCTGACGAGAACTTATTTGTGTATATAATTTCAACATAAAGGGTTGTCGCGAAGTGTTAAATATTCGAGGCAGTCGCAAAATTTCTCAAAAAGTTCTCAGAAACTTCTATAAACTATCGAAATTTTAAAAATTTTCGACGATTTTTGTGAGTTTTTAACGACTTTTTTGAAAACTTTTCCAAAATTTATATAAATTATCGAAATTTTTGCGAAGATTTCTAGAAATTTTTAAAGACATTTTCGAAAATTTGTTCAAAATTTTTCGAAATCTCTTAATAGTTTTTAAAAAGTATGAAGAAGTAAAATTTCAATGGGCAAAGGCTTATTATTAAAAATTACAATGGGCAAATCTCCAAATGCAATGGGCAATTGCCCATTTGCCCCCCCCCCTGGCTACGCCACTGACTTGAAGTAGTGCTGCTACTTACAATGGTACTACTTGATGTACTGGTGGTGGTGGTGGTGGTAGTGATATTAGTGATGCTACTTGAAGTACTGCTAGTAGTAGTAGTAGTGCTGCTTGTGGTACTACTGCTGCTCGTAGTGGTACTGGTACTGGTGGTCGTAGTAGTAGTGCTACTTGAGGTACTGCTACTACTCGTCGTACTGCTACTTGTGGTGCTGCTACTGCTCGTAGTGGTACTGCTAGTGGTGGT